GTAGAGAGTATTTGTAGATTCTGCTGTTGTATACTTTGGAGAAGATTGCGTCCTTTAAGTGCTGTTAACCTGGATCCCCTTGCAGTATGCTTAGCATTCCAATCGCCGACAGCAAGAAATCGTGGTCCCAGTGACTGGAGAAATTCTGCATATTCTTGTGACGAAATAAGGTGTCGTGGGGGGGGGGATCTAGACGGCTGCTATGTGCCAGGAGAGCGCCGGTACTGTTATTATAGCAATTTGTATTTTAGTAGTTATTTGGGGTTGCTGTACCTGGTGCTGTAGGTTAGACTTAATTGTGATGGCTGAACCGGCGTGGGCCGTTCCGTCAGGGTGATTGGCATAGTAAATATTGTAATTTGCAATTTTGATGACAGTTCGATCCGTAGCATGACTTTCTGAGACTATAAGGATATCGATATCACAATAAACAGCAATTGCTTCCTTACACAGTATTAACCGGGCGACCAGACATAATATTTTCTGAGATACCAATTGAATTTTTGTAAATTATGAAGCAGAAGTTTAGTCCTTGCAGAATTAATTATGAATTGTATATAGAAGACATAGTTACTTTAACTGACTCTGCAGAAGAAAGTCCATCAATTAGAAGATTATTAGCAATAAACAAGTGAAAATTGGTTTATATTCAGTAGATGTTCATTTTCACTCTGCGTGTCCGAAAATAAAACTTTCTAACAAATATAAATACAACCGAACTTAGAATATTGTGTTTCATTTAGGCGAACCCGGCTTGAGTCACATCACAATACGAACTGCATGAGTACGCAGAGTGGCCAACTTAACGCTCCACAACCGCTCGTAAGGAGCTGGGGGACACCAAAACCCGGTCTGGATTCCGGCCGTTCGGCTCATAGTCAGTCAGGATCTGAAAGCTGATATGTGACGAGAAATCGCTGATCTCGACAGAGGGAGATTTCGGAAATAGAGGTTACTCTCCCACCTTCGTTTCGACTCTCAGCTCGACTTTCAACTGGTGGAGACTATTTCCTATTCTTCCTCACAATTTACATACCAACCATGGCCCAGTGACTTGCAAGAAGCCACTCTCACTTATTGTGCACAATAATCGCGTCGTTTGATTTCACATCTGTTCTCACTGAGCATAATTGTCGGTCACCTGTTTCTACACCTCTGTGTACTGAACACTTGTTTCCCATTTTACATCCTCTTCACAGAGTAAACAGACACCATCATACCGGCAATGTTAGTGTAGTGGTAATTAGTTCTAAAAGGTTTTGACGATGGTGTATAACACTAAGAATTACTGGGATTTTGGACTTTATCCATCGTCCAGTATTCTAAAAAATAGCAAACACGACGTTTCGGAAACTGGATCGCTTTCCTTCCTCAAGTGAGGGGGTGGACACCTACTCTGTTGGGTCCCTTAGAAAGAGCTAACCTTAAGGGACCCGAGTACGTGTCTTCTCTCTTCACCTGAAGACATAAACAGATCCAGTTTCCGAAACGTTGTGTTTTCTAGTTTTTAGAATACTGGACGAGACAAAGTGCGAAAACCCAGTAATTCTGTGTAGTGGTAACCTTCACTTAAATGAACGTTATAACAAGAATTTTATAGTTTACGCGATCTCTATAAAGGAATTTTGATGATTTCTTGAAAAAAGGCATTACAACTTCCTTCCAAACCCCTACTTTCTAATGACTGTTATATGGCAATTTCTTTCGAAATTCTATAGCTATTTCAGATGAAACACAGTCGTTAAATAACTGAAGGATGAACTCAGTTATTATATTCCGATGGCAGCTTTTGCGTCTTTTCTTTTTGAAGATACAAGAACGAACACTGAGATTTTGTCTACGCTTCTTTTTCCGTTATTTCTGGGTTTTTTTACATGATATAGCTTATAAAAGGCACATAAACCTTGTCTCATGAAGCTCTTATAAATGTATCCATTAGCCTGCAAATTTATCGTTTTTCATAGTTGGCTTTAAATTTTCACGGCCAAGTTTTCTGGCCAAAATTAGGAATGATGTGTTAAACCGGTCATTCTTAATATAGGGTTTGGCATGAAAAGTATTAATTTTGGTTTTATTCTTATTCAGGAAAAGTTAATTATCAATTACTGTTTGTGTTTTGTTTCTTCGTATGTGGCTTATGCCATCAGGCACAGCCTTTCATAAAACTAGGATATCCAGATGTTAAACAGGAGGACTCATTGCAAAAGATTTCCATTTTACCTTCGATTACTAGTAGGGCAGGGAACCCAGTTGTGTTGATACTGAGAATATGAGCTCTATAGCTTGGCGTCTGACAGGAACCACAAATCGGGACCGAAGTTTCCCATAACTTTCTGAGATTGTTACAGGCGAGGGAATTGAAGGAAGTGCAGAAAAAATTTCCTTGGACCTCAAACCCTAAATTTACTCTAAGGGAGGCCAACATCTTATTCCCAGTACACCAGAACCTTGTACTCTGCTTTCACCAACGTAAAATACTAGTAGAGATGTTATCCCATAATTTCGTTACTGTGTCTTTGCAAACATTAAATATGCCAGTACTGACTCAACGTACTGTACAGTATGCGTTTTGCTCTCTCCAAGACGTAAATACTCCTACGTGTTGAACTTCATGGTGATATTTAGGTTTTTCCAGCCGTGTGTCTCTCAGCCAAGGTAAAGTGGCAAGTCTGCAAACATTGGTCCAATAGCGGTGAGAATGTAAACAGTTCTTTTACTTTTTAGACTATGTCCCGTATGTTAGCATGGCGGTTCGAAAAACCATTGGCAGGGAATCAGGCACTGGCAGGAAGACAATTTCCCCTTCCAAAAACGATTTTTTATTTTTGCGATTTAAAAAAAAATCATCGATTCGAACTAATCTCATTACATCACATACACTGCAAAGGACCATACATTATTTTTTCTTTCGGAAATTATAGGGCGGGGAGCGCGGTAGCGTAGTTGATTGAGGCACTATGCTACAAGCCGGAAGGTCTCAAGTTCGATTCCTGATTAAGTCACTGGATTTTTCAATCGACCTAATCCTTCCAATCGTGCTATGTCCCTGTGACCGACTCAGCCTCTAACAGAAAGGAGTATAAGGAATTTTCTTGGGGGTAAAGGGCGGCCGGCGCATAGCGCTGACAACCTGACCGCCATCTATGAGCCGACTGTCTGGAAAATGTGGGAACCTCGACGTCTCACAACCTTGTGGGTCTTCACGGCCTTTTACAGAGATAAGTTTATATATATTTTTTTTAATTATAGGACATGACATCGATAAATATTTCATATAAAATTTATACATGTTAGCAAGATGGAATGTGGCTGATCTTGTAAACTTAATAACAGATTTACGAAGTAACGGACTTCCCCTACAACCAACATTGGCAAGGAAATTTCAGCTCTGCTATGAATCATATCAGAACGTTAATACTTTCGAGAGATATATTAAAGGCAGTCTGTTAACCAAGTTTCTTAGCGTCAAGTACAGTGACAATTTTACTTTTACCTTGCACATGACTGATTGTCAACTATGACAGGAGGATGGTACAATCAAAACCAAGAAGAAAGGAAAAGGTACCAAAGAAGGGAAGCAAAATTAAGAGAAAAAACAGATGGGTTTCCTTGGTTCCATAACCTTGATCTTACGCATACAGGGGCACATGCATAATAACAATGATAAAGGTAAGTCTCATGAATGGGGTGTTAAGAAACTGGAATGCAAGATTTTTGGGAAAATTAGGAAGGTCATGAAGTCAAATATTCAAAGAATACTTCACTGGGAACGCGAAATCCTTCAAAGGTGGTAACGTAGTCGCACCATGCTTGAAACTCTTTGATAATTAATAGAAGATAGATTAAGAAGAAAGTGGAAGATGGTTCACTGATGCGATTGAAACATCAATTTGAATCTTTTATTATTAGATCTTGAAAACTGAAAATTAGGCAAATTTTAACACTTAGTCATGCTTTCAAATTTCTCATAAATATTGTCACGTGTATCCTGGTAACGCAACAGTAAATAAGGGGATTCGGATTCGATAACTCGATTTATTGGATAATTTCACACGTGGTAACTACAATTCCTTATTAAGATTTCAAGATTGCTGTATCTATGTCACACAGACAATTATAACACTCTCAAGGTTAACACATCAACTACTGAACTGCCTTGAACGACGTCTTCGTGACGAATCCTGGAATCCTCCAGCTTACGTCTGCTGAATTGAACTGAACTGCTAGTGTTATTCTGTAAACCTCATTATATAGCCCCCACAAGGAACGTGCATAAAGAAAACACAATTCTGATGTTGCATTAGGAAGACCACACAGACAACAAGTCACGTGATCCCTAGCCAGCGTCTTCATTGGTGCGCTGTTGCCTAGCAACGTGCAGTAACATTCATCCACCGAGACACATCTTCTATTGTTGCACGTTGATCGTGTTTACCTAGCCGTTGCCGAGCAAACCCGTTACATTATATTAAGAACCGGACCAAGGTGAAAAATAGGCCGCGCCATAGCTCAAGCGGTTAGTCGCTGGCTTCCACCTCTGCGGCCAGCGTTCGACCCCGGGTCTGGTGAAGTGGGATTTGTGGTGGACAAAGTGGCGCTGGGGCAGGTTTCCTCCGAGTACTTCGGTTTACCCTACCAACCTTCATTCCACCAATTGCTCCATAATCACCCTCATCTATCATCAGTGGCTGGTACAATAGGCCAGAAGTGGCCGCAGTACAAGGGACTTAGTCCCACCCCACTAGTAATGAAAAAAAGGTAAAAAAAAATCGATGCAGTCATTTTAATGATGATGATGATGATGGGTAGGAAGGAAGTAATGTACCGTCTGCTGAACCAGTGACATTCCGCAGAGGCCATGAAGTGGTTGTCACTGGTTACACACGGAAAGTGACGTCAGCAAGGCACCAGCACCATGTGAATGTAAACATGTGGCAAAATTTACATAGCTGGGGCCAGCCCACGTAAGTGATTACCCAGGTTTCTTGAAATCGGTACTTAAGTGTTGTGCCTCCTTGCAAAACAAATTCCATTCAGATCAAGAAAGTGCCTCGCTCAACATGGCGACAGTGCCACTCTTAACTGTATCTCTTCTTGTCACGCCGTGTTTCTTTCATTTGTGTCGAGGTAAGAAACACTTGCATACAAAATTGTGTAAAATGCAAGATAATAAAAATTACGTTAGAATTTAGGTGAACTACGAGAGTTTAAATGAATTTAATTTTATAGTATTATTTATTTTGGTACGCACGTAGTGTTCATAATATTCTGAGAGAGCTGTTTTCTATGACAGTTGATCCGATAGGCGAAAATGTCTTTAAATGCTAATTAATTCCCATTTATTGAAGTGATTTTAAGTGTCACGTTACCAAGAAGAATTATGGGGGGGGGGGTAACGTGTGGCACAAGTTGGAGGTATACCAGAAATGCTACTAGGAAAACTTGAAGAGAAGCAGAAGTGTGAAACGCATGTGTAGATTGAAGGATTGTGGCAGAATTCGTGTAAAAGAAGCATTGTGTGAGGTGTGGACTGGATTCATGCAGCTCAGAAATGTGTCACAGTAGCGGAAGTCTCTTTAATACCGTAACAAATCACTGAGCTCTAAAAAAGGTCTGTAATTGGAGTTAATATATTAGCTACTGATTTAGAGGCAAATTCTGAGGTTTCGGTGGTCCGAGATAATACTTCCATCCAATTTTGGCCCCGTGTAATAAAACTTAGTCAATTATTATGGAACTTGACATGATGTGGACACTGGAAAGAACATAAATTATTTTTCTGAGTATTTTCTCTTGTGCCGGTCACGGTAGCCAAGCGGTCTAAGGCATGTACTGCCTTCGCTTCCTCGGAAGCAGGGATCGTGGGTTCGAATCCAACATAAGGCATAGATGTTTCATATGTGTATTTGTTTATTCTGTGTCTGTGTTTCCACGTGTTTAGGACTTGCGACGACCTGATCACTCGTCCAAGGAGTCCTACCGTCTGTAAAATGATCAAAAAAAAAAAAAACCTCGACACCGTGAGTCATAAGAGAAACGGATTAAATAAGTAAAAAATTATTTCTCTTGTTCAGCTCGGTGTCCATCCTTGTGGCAGAAAATTGCTACCCCAAAGAGAAATCTGAATAGGGTTTACTGGCTGCACACACTTGAGTGATATGATACATCAGTACGGTGTACAGTCTCACGCGAAATTGCTTGTTTTGCATCCAACGTGTATTTAAAACTTAACTTCATGGAACACAGCCCTGTTTGAGAAGTTTGCTCAGCTAGACGTAAAATTCATTGCTTTCTTGGAACTTGAACTTTCACTATCTTATTCACAAGAGCTTGCCACTGGATCGAAGGCAGATCAATCCGGTACACCCTCTCCTACACTTTTCTTTAATGTCTATTTCTGTACTATACTCCCGTGTCTGTGCGTCTCACGTGGTATTTTTCCTTATTTTGCAAGGCTTAATATTATGTAAGCATTTCTCATCAGCTCTTTTCCTGTGGAGAATTTAGGAGAAAGTGGGCTTTGTCAGTACCCCTAGCACTAGCTAGAATGGATTAAGAAACCCCTAAAAGGCCATAACCGGATTAAATTGTTCTCTGTGGTGAAACTTGAGCCTGGGAGCGCCAACCTTTCGATTGCGATGATCGGTTTGGAATATGAAGCCGACGGAAGTAAAGGGCGTAAGAGGAAGTGCGTGCATTCTAGTTTAGGCTACGTGGATGTACTAGGAAACATTATGAAAACTCTCACTCAGAAAAGGCAGCATTCGGGCCTATAATCGAACCCGACATCTCTCAAATACGAACTTTGCAGTCTTATTGATATTATGGTATATTGTTTTATTATTTTGAAAAACTAATTTTCATTTTTACTTCCAAAGTAATGAATATTAATTGAAATTTATCATTAGCACTCAGAAAATTAATTATTTCCTTCAACAAAACATTTTGCAGGGCTTAACGTCAAAATAAACGAAGAAGTGACGTCACTGACAACTGAAGGATTACTCGGTCATTTCAAGCGCCATCTTCAATCTAAGCCAGCAGACGACAGGATTATATTTCCCGACAGCTCAGAAGAAGACTCAATTGATACTGTAAATAGACGTTTCGGCTATGTTTTTCCACCCACTGAATATACGAGACCACATATCAGCCAGAATAATAACTGTAAAACTGAAGCTGATGTGATAGAAGGGTGTGGACCCCCTTCAGAGAACAACAGTCACCCAATCAGCCAGAGCGAAACTCAGTCATCAAGCTATGGTGGGCCAAAGTCATCCGTCTACAGCCAGAGTCAGGGTGTGAGTCAGTCGCCAAGCCAGAGCGAAAGTTATTCTCCTAACAGTGGTGGACGTCAATCTACAGGCGATACATCTGAACAGTTTCACGCACACTATCCTGAAAACATGAAATCATCCAATGATAATGGGAGCAGATCGGCGACGGCGAGTGAAAGCCAAATTACCAGCAATATCGGAAGTCAATGTATCAGTAATTGTGGAATTCACTCCTCCAGCAATAAGGAAGACAAATTACCCAGCCGGGATGGAAGCCAGTCCTTCAGCAATAGCAACAGTAAATCTTTCAGCAGTAGTGAAAACCAATCCTACAGCAACAGTGAAAGCCAATCCTTCAGCAATAGTGAAAGCCAGTCCTTCAGCAATAGTGAATGCCAGCCCTTCAGCGGTAGTCAAAGCCAATCCTTCAGCAACAGTGGAAGTCAATTCTCCACTAGTAGCGGGAGCCAGTCCTCCAGTAATAGCGGAAGTGAATCCTCCGGCAGTGCTGGAAGCGGATCTTCAGACATTGCTGGAAGCAAACATGCAAGCGGCACCTATGATGGGTTTCGCTCACAGCGTCCTGGAAACATTCAATTTGCCAGCAGTAGCGGAAGTCAATCCTCCAGCAACACTGCTAGCCATCCGTTCAGTAATAGCGGAATCGGACCCTCGGACAGTGGTGTAAGTCATCATGTAAGTGGTACACACGAAGAGTTTTACACACACCATCCTGGGAACTTCGAATCCTGCTGTAGCGACGGAAACGTTTTCTCCAGTAATAGCGGAAGGCAATCTACTGGCTACGCATTGGAAGGGATTCATGCAGAACGTCCTGGGAACATACACACCTTCAGCAACAGCGAAAGTCATTCCTCAAGTAATGGTAGAAGCCATTCCGCCAGCAATGGTGCAGTCCAGTCTTATAGCAAGAGTGGAAGCCAGTCCTTAAGCAATGGTGCAGTCCAGTCTTATAGCAAGAGCGGAAGCCAGTCCTTAAGCAATGGTGCAGTCCAGTCTTATAGCAAGAGTGGAAGCCAGTCCTCCAGCAATGGTGGAACCCAGTCTTCATCTGCTTATGCATATGACTTCTATTATCCACAGTTTCCATGGAACACCCAATCTTACATAAACAATAATGGGCAAACACATACGGGAGATGGAAGCTACATTTCTAGTTCTATTCAGAGTTCCAGCATGGATGGAGGATACGGAAATGGTTATCCAGACACTCTGTTCGGTAACAGTCAGCCATCTAATGTTAATCGAAATGAAAGATTTACAGGTAATTCTAACTGGAATTTGAAAAACTTTCTACCTGGTTTCTCCTACACAGGAAATTCAAATCAGGGTTCTAGAGTATATTTTGGAAGCAATAATCCTGGTTTCACTGGAAGATTTCCAGGATATCCAAGCAGTTGGTCTCAGAGCTCTTCACAGAGTGGCTCCTTTTCTGGAACGTCCAGCTTCAGTTCCAGTAGCAGCAGTAGTGGCGGAGGTGAAGGTGGTGTTGAGCCGTGTATTATTGCCTCATCAACGGAATTCTCCCTACCTGAAGGACTGTGCAGAAGAAACGGGCGTGACTGTTAATGCAGTATTATTGCATAACTCACAGCGACTCTGGTATGATAAGTAACAAAGCGTTTCCAAAAGTTATGTCTCACAAAAGTCTCACACAATTCCGCGTCACGTGAGAGGATTCGAAGCAATTATCTCGAAATTTCACAGTTCGTGGTTTACGTACGAGTATATACAGGTATTGGGTTCTTGGTCCGGAATACAGGTTTTGAGGCTGTGAATTTCTCCAAAACTTCTACATTTCACATTTATTAAATATGTAAACTTCTGTGACGATGTGGTATTTCTTTTCCACTATAGTGGTTAGGGCACTATGCTACAAGTCGGAAGGTCGCGGGTTCAAATACCGATGAGGTTATTGGATTTTTTTCAATTGACCTAATCCTTCCGGCCGCACTATGTGGGGTACACTCAGCCTCTAAGAGAAATGAGTACCAGGAAGTAAATAAATACTTTTCCTGGGAAGTAAAGCGTGGCCGGCGCGTAAGGCTGACAACCTTACCGCCATCCTTGAGCCGACTGTCTAGATAATGTGGGATCCTCACCGTCTCACAGCCCTATGGGCCTTCACGGCCTGTTACAGGGATATATATATATATTATCTATAATTTTAGTAACAACAAGGAGTGTGGGTTTCGCTTTCCGGTAAATTGCACAGCATTCTTGGTTTCGGGCTGCGGGGGGGACCCATAGGCCTACAGAGATCTTGCTTATAAATTACCGAATAAATCACAAAGACTGCTTTCCTCATTATAAATCTAACGGAATTTCAGGTCAGAAATGAAGCCCCAACCGACATCCGAGTTTCTAATAGCGTCTACTACGTGGTTCACAAAAGTCACTGTTTAATTACAATGCACATCACAGATGTTGTGCTGTGTATATTTTTGGATAGTTTTGATATATTTTTATACCTTGACGAGGAAGCTGCTGAAGGGAGTGCGGTCCAGACGGGTGCCCCGGTGAATTTTTGGATGCCGAGGCGTCACCCTGAATTTCATTTCAAAGACAGTACTTTCAAACACAGACGGTGGTTAATGCGAAGTATTATATCTCCACATCTAAAAGGAGTTGTTATAAAAGGATAATAATTTCATTGAAATAATAAAACACACGAAAACAATAGAAAAAACTTTTAAATATTTTTCACATGGAAGTTTCTGCATGAGATGGGAATGTAAGTACTTACACACAGAATTACTATAATCTTCAAAACTAATGCATTAAATGTACCAAGAGATGGTAAGGTGGTACATCAGCCAGAGTCCGATATCTTCAAGAGGAAAGAAGCAGCAGAAGGACAAGCGGATATGTGCCACCGTATCCTTGGGGACAAAAGAATCGAATCGCAAATAATTTAGCCGTGCCTTCCAGATGGCTAGGCACAGGAGCAACGTTACTTTCCTAGTCCTTATTTTTTTATTGGCTGGAATTTAATATCTACCTTCGGCTTTCAGGGTTAGTGAACGTCGAATGTTAAGGGTTCTCCGACGTTTCGGCAACTGTACTGTCAGCCGAAATGTTGGAAAGTCCTTCAGCTTTCGAGGAAGTCTAGTCCCGAAAGTAGAATGTACACAAGATTACTTTTGAAAATTGAGCTTACTGGTCAGGATACAAAATAAATTTCCATCAAATGTTGTGGGAACTTTATTCAAACCTCGATAATCAGGGTCATAAGTAATTCAAGTTATATCCCAGAAGCTACAACACCACTTTCAGAACCTCGAATCCAACTTTAAGGCTATAACTGTACATGAATCTCATGCGGCCGTTTTTCCGTCCTCACTGTATATTAGGCCTACCACCTTCTTCAGGTGGAATAATGATGATGACGCTGAACCGAATTCAATGCCAGCCGTCCTTTTCTTGAATTATGAAGAACACATATCATAGTTAAAAATCTCAGTTTTGGTTTCACCAAACAATGGGTCATCACTGAACCACAGGCCTCTTCAGTGGTTCCTTGCCAGCACGTTGCAACGCATACACGGGTTTCACATGGAGGAAATGTCTGTCAGGAAAGTTATGTAGGCCTACTGAATGAGTAGTCTCGGACAACCAGTAAGGTGTGGTCCTCAGTTCTGTAGGTTGGGCATAAAGTTAACAGCCATTGCACAATGCTACAGACATTATTTGGACATAGGCGGAATACAATAGGAAATAAATTTAGAATACAAATGACGAGGGATTTCGTCATTTAAACAGACTACACAGTATTATTGCCGATCACAGTGGCCGCGCGGTCTAAGGCATAAATTTTCATCGCCCATTCAGACACTGGAATCTTGGGTTCGAATCCAACTCGAGGCCTGAATATCTGTCTGCATTTATTCTGTTTGTATTGCTTTTGTAGGTAGCGGCCTTGCGACTGGCTGATCCCACGTGCAAGGAGTCCTAAGGATTAAGGAACTGGAGTGAAATAAAGCGTTCCACGCATGTCCTATGCTACACAGTTGGAGCAACAAGAAAGAAAGATACGGTATTGTTAGAATAGTGAAATATCAACAGGCACGAGCTGGACATGCGGGTTAGAGGGGGGTGGCAAAGAATATGCAGTGAACTTAGAATTTTTGTAGGAAAGCGGAGCACGGGGTAGGAGAACAAAATTAAGATCTGTCTTAAAGAAATAGATCACGCTAGTGCCAGGTGAATGGAACTGACTTACGATCGCGTCCAATGGCGGGTTTTGGTACAAGACCTTGAACTTTCATGTTCTGCCATAACAACTTTAATTAGAATATCTGTAATTGCAAGACAGAGCACAGAGCGTACAAAGAGGCCAGCAACAATTTCCTTTCCTTCAAGTTGAAGGTTAAAGGGGCATTAGCACCATTTCACCTTCAAATGGTGGGCCCTGTTTCAACAAGAAACATTACAGACTCTTGCAATCTCATATCAGTTGTGCAGCATTAGCAACGAAATACACTTCATTTCCTACTAACCTGATGAGATAGCTCAGTCAGTATGGCCAGACAATCGAGGAACTCGGGTTCGATTCCATGCCGGGATTTGTTTTTTTTTTTCTCCATAGCTTCCGAACAGTCTGTGATCTACCCAGACTCCTAACTAGTAATTACCGGCGACTCTTTCCCTCTGGATAAATTAGCCGAGTCTTGAAGCTGGCACCTCCATTTAGTTTCAAGATTGAGTATGGGAGGAGCTATACAAGCTTCTGGACAAATTTACGTGTCACCCAGCAGTATCAAGGCTTCTTGGATATTCGTTTGCTTTCTGAATTGTTAAGAGATGGCAGTTGCGGTCACTTTGCGACCGCGTAGTCATCTACTGTCAATTTTGGTAACCACTACTATCGTATGTACCTGCAGACGTTACCAATAGCAACACACATTCACAACAATTGAAAATGATGCCGCAGTTTGGAGCATAAGCATTTTTTATTTTGCTTACTTGCCTTATATTCATGTTTAAGATGATATTCAGATTTTAACACAATTGCCTGAAGAACTAGAAAGACAAAAACAAAACTCCCACGTTGTAATGGAAATTCCAAATATTCTGTAGCATCTATTTTAAAAAATCGAAAAATTAACTCCCAAATAGTTACATCCTTCTTTAAAACGGTGGACTTTAAAAAAATATTACCACTAAAATAAATTACTGGCATATATTATATTATTTACAGAATTATCATGTGCTTAGCCTTTTTTTTTTCAATGTCAAGCTTCCAACATGTACTACGAATTGAGCACGATATAACAACCCCCCCCCCC